AGAGACGGGCAGACAGACAGTTTGAGAATCTCACAGAGGAACTCTCACATGCTGTTTGCCGAGAAAAAAAAAAGAGGTTTTGAGAAAGAAGAAAAAAAAAAGACGCAATCCAATTACTCTCAATGACTCAAACCTGTCTCACTCTCCTGAAAGATGGATTTAGTGAGCAAATGATAAAGACTGCAACATATGACCTGGAAATTCTGTCCCTGGCTTGTTTTCATCCTCTTTCAATGGAGAATAATGATACTGCATGAATAAGCATTTTCATGAATGGATTATTATTGTTTAAAATTAACATAACTTTTAGAAATTGTCCCTTTGCACTTCAGACAAACACATAACCTCCTCAACCCAAGTGGAATGTGCAAGCCAGGTTGTAAAGCCTTACTCAAATGCATGCGAACAACAATATTTATTTATACTATTTTTATGGCAACAAAACACTAAGCCATTTTCAGACTGGTTTCAATTTCTTTAAATAACTGCCATCTTCTGGACTTGAAAGCTTTCTGAGCCATTAATTTTAGTTTGTTTTTTTTAGGTTTATTTTTTTGGTCTTGGCTCTGAGCTTCTCTTTGTTCCCTTTATGCTGAGTGGTTGGAGAAATACACTCGAAAGCTGGGCAGCAATGATCTGTAAAACCTTCATTAGTGTGGAAACTTTATAACGTAACGATATGAGGTCTAAAAATATCTCTTTTAACTTGTGGGATGACTCTAGAGGCTCTCGCATTTGATGTAAGCATCATACTGTAATTTTCCCAACTGTATTAATTTCAATACAGTATAATAACTTTACAGGTAAAAGATGTGAAGCTGCAAGCCAAGACCCACGACAACAGCTTAGGGTATTTCCTAATGCAGTCATTTTGTATCTTTGCTGCACCTCCACGGGCAGTGAAGCTCATACATTTAATTAAATGAGTTTGCCTCAGCCATCATGCATGATTTAAATATTTATGTAATCTTTGGGCAGACTGCCACACATATTTGAAAAACTATTTATTTTACCACCTGTAAACTGATAATCCAAAACATGAGATCATCATGGATCTACAGAAAACATGATTGTATGAAATGCAGCGATTCTCGTGTTCCAGATAAATCTTCTGCACCGCCTCAGAGGCAGAGCTTTTTTCTTCAAACATGCTTTTTAGCTGACAGCTTCTATTTCGTCACTGTTGGTAGTTTGAAAGTCACTCTGTGAAGTGAACATCACATTCTTCGCCGTGCAATATAGTAAATGATAGATAATCTGCTGTACTGTATAGCTCAGCACCTTGGTGTTTAACAGGCGTGTCCACAGTCTGGGTGTGCTGTAGAAAGCTGTTTTTATCCTCAGATCCTATGCAAAAGGTCGTGTTTTATGTTGCCGTTTGGAAATTGTCAGTTTGTCCTCGTCTGCCTCCGTAGACCAAAAGGAAGTGGTGATTCTGTGCTTTGAAAAGACACTATCAGGGGGAACCAGAGACCAGTATGAGAGCCATTCATCAACTAAACTGTACAACTTTGATGGTCACGGTCTGTATAAGAGGAAGTGTTTCATTAGGAAACTGGGGGAGAACAAAAACAAGTGTTCTTTTTCAAGAGAGACACATTGTCAGTGGTTCTGGGAAAAAAAAAATAAAAGAGATGCACACACACACCATCCACCTAAAGTGTAGCCTTCATGTTTTATAACCCTGTGGTGTAGCGATATGTCTTTGACCTCAGTTGCACCCAGTGAAACCACTGCCATACATCAAGCTTTGCTATCAGATACAGGTTTTACTTCACTGGTCCACTGCATATATTCTCTTTGAAATTCACCTTAGATGCACTTTGAGAAGAAAAATCTTGTTTTTATGTGTACAACTAGAAAACTTTTAACCGTTTTTGAACCAGTTATGTTAAAATGTTATTCCACTAAGACTCAAACATAACCACTAATGACATTTAAAGCTGAAACAGACGAGTAGCTGCTGTAGTCAGATACTTAAAAAAAAATGTTGGCACAGAGTCTCTGTGGCCAACCATGATGTTTAATAGATCAAGGAGGCGGAGGAGCCCAGTGAGACACAGCACATATGTGCATGCCACTGGCAATCTACATCAGAGGGAGGCTGACAGTGGCACAATGGTAAAGGCAATGAGGCCAAAGCAGAGGTGGAAGCACAAGTTTATTCACTGTGTGAGAGATTGGATGATGATAAAAGCAGAAATTGACATTGCAGCTTTTTACTCAAATGAAATGGGTGTTATCCAGTAGTCAATCAATGGTATTCTGTTGAATATTTCATTATCATTAAATTCTAAATAAGTTATTTTCAGATGTGCTAGCTGCATGGCTCTGTGGAAAGCAATGGTGGACTGTCCACCATTTTGGCATAATGGATTGCCATGCCATGCCCCCCACCCCCCCACCCCACCCCCCAGGATAAATTGTGATGATGTTGGTGAGTCCCTGACTTTTTAGTCAAGCACCGCCATCAAAATTTTAATCTGTCCAGTCTTTGGTTAAGACCAAATGCCTGCCTCAGCTGTACTTTGTGTTTAGTGCTAATTAGCAACTGTTAGCACACTAACACACTGAACTAAGATGGTGACAATGGTAAACATTATATCTGCTAAATATCAGCATGTTAGCGTTGTCATGGTGAGCATGTTAGCATGCCTACATTAGCACCACTGTGTCAAAGTACAGAGTCACAGAGCCACTAGCATGGCTGTAGTAGACTCTGGTCTTGTTTGTATCTATGTTATAGCTGCACAGCCACATCTGCTTTAGCCAAGTGTTTCTGTTGACGTCCACCACTGTCACTTCTGGTGTATGCGCTTAATGCTGCCGGATGATGAACACTGTCCCACAGGAACTTCATTTGTATCAGATCAGAGTCTTAGCACATCCAAAGCAAGCCTCCGTCCACTTTTCTTTCCATAAATCATAATCCCAATTTACTTGTAATGGTTCCTTGAGAGATTTTTGAGAAACTTGGGAGTTATTCTTCAGGCCAGTATTCTTCCATTTAAAAAAAAAAAAAAAAAAAAAAATGAACAGATATTCTGTCCCTGGTCCTCCCAGCTGTCTCCTGCGTCAACAATGAACTGTAGAAACTCAAATCATGATGTCTGGTAAATTGTGATTTCCAAATCAACCCTAGTTTTCTTATGAGGTTGTAGGCCTTTGCTTTTTTTGCATTTCAAGATACTGTAGTTGTGTTGAAAATGAAAAACGTATTTTTTTAAAGAAACCTTAAATTGCTGGCTTAAATTCTAAACCTCTACTGTGTACGTCATACTGCAGTGCATTGAGATAGGATGCCTGGTGACAGTTTTGTTTTTGTAGAACCTACTACTGTACCTTCTCAGGTGAACTGACCTAGCTTAACGCATGCTCCTGAGGAACAGACTGAGGTTGATCGCATGCCAGATCCTCTACATGTTTTTCTTTGTTTGTTTTTTTGTTTGTTTTTTTGAATGCTGTTCTCATTTGTATGCATGAAATACATGGAAGTGCTTTCTTTCTCCCCCCACTGACGTATAAAAATGAAATATATTATGAAGTTTCCTTACAATATTTCTACAATACACTTTTAAAACCTGCAACCTTGACAAAAAGTGATGTATATATTCAGTATATATTCTACACAAGATGCTTTTTCTTGCATAGAACGAGTGAGTGTGCAAGGCTCAAGCAGAGAAATGAGAGAAATGGTGAAAGCACTTAATCTCTTCCAAACATACTTGAGCTTAAATACTGGTACATTGCTACAACTGGCTAATCATAGTTATATTCTGTAGAAATTTTGTAATTATGACTTCTACAAATTATAAACACACTGGTAACCACTGCAATAACCCCAACCTATAAAGCTGTTTTTACCAAATGTTTTTTAGTGTTGAAACTTGATCATGCTTAACATCTTTATATAAAGACTGTAGGATATGTTGTTCCGCACACATTCACAAATACTTATTCAAAGAAATTCATGTTTTCAGTACCAACTTTGCACAGCCCTGTTCATGATGGTTTATATATGGAGACCCAAAGCATTCAAAATTATATGCTTATGATCATTGTAATTCATCTCATCATAATTTAAAAAAAAAAGAACAGACTTTATTGCAGGTTATTCTTTTGGAAAAGTGATATTTTGAAATAAAACTACTGGAATTAAATAGAAATGTTATGTTATTGTGTAAAGAAGCAGAATGAAAAAACATTTCTTTTCATTTCAATGATGCTGAGTTTTCAAAATATATTGATTTATTTGTGTTTATGTATTTGGACTGTATTTATTCCTTATTTATTTCATCAAGTTAAATTTAAGACTTTTATTATACACAGTACTTAATCCCTTTTTTAAAATGACGCTGGTCAAAGTATGATAGAAAATCAGAAGGAACAATATGGCCAAGAATTATTTATTACTAGCAGTAGTTGTTTTTTGTTTATTTGCAGAGATTGAGTTCAATGCTTTCTAAGACCTTTCAAGACCTGCAGATACTCTGTATTTATGTACTCAAATTTAAACTCTTTGGTATTCCATATGTATAATTTTCTGCATTTTACTAATGACAATTTACAGATGTGTTCAGTCCTCTTGCACACATATAAGCCTTTATAAAATGTTAATTACGGCTTCATTGGTTGGGGTTCATGAAGGTTATCAGTACATGTTGTGTACATTTCTTTTTTGATTCCTTTAATTCAACATGTGTACAAAGGCAGTTTCTTCTGGTTTATTTATCGCATCAGATGTATGAATAAAATGATATTTTGATGAATGAACTTAGAAATTATATACTTTATATACAGTAAGTCATTTATTCAAATACCTACTATAATGCATATTACTCCCTGTATAATCACAAGGAAAGCATTAGCACCTTTGAAACATACAATATGAAAGTAAACTTTTAAAATAAACTGTTGTTATATATTCTATGCTCTTGTCTTATTTTTGTAAAACAAAACACTTGAACTGCAGTTTCTTGTTCAACCTTAAAGAATTCAAGTCTCAACAAAGGTGTAGTTTATTAAATTATCCAAACATCGCAAGTAAACAGCGCCACTGTGTATACTGTACTGTAATGACTCTATTCACATACACCTAAGCCACATTTGGATAAACGCATACATTACAAAAGTCAACTTAAAATAATCTCTTCAGGAAAACTATGTAATGAAAACTACAGCGTTGGCACAAACTTGTTTGCAAAAAGGCAACAGAGTAAAAACAGGTGAAGAACCTTTTTGACACTTAGTTAAATGAAAAAGAACAAAACTCACAAAAGTACAACGGTACAATCCAAATGACTAAATGTCAACGTCTAGTGCACATGCTGACAGTGTAAAAGCCTTTTTGTGACAAACTGAACCATTACGTTTTAACAACGTATAGAAGAAGAATGGAAGAGACCGAGCTGGAGGGAAAGCTGAAACAAAAAGACAAAAATACAAAGACAATAATGTAATAAGGAGGATGAGTGGGAGAACAAAAGGTGCTGAGAGATAAATTGAACTTCACAGAATATCTGAGGACATTTATGACTAAACATCACTAAGCAAGACGACAACTTTATCACCTATCTACTGATCAGATCAGGGTTTGACAGGAGGACACAATTGGTTTCTGAGAAAAAAAATTACTTTTTTTTTTTTTTTTTTTTTTTTTTTTTTAAATAGAAGGAACGGCAGAAACCCAAGACTTGCATAGAAAGACCTTTCAGAATTTGCTGCTGCATAGACAAAGAACACTGCAGCAGACTATCAAGTAGTATCTGATGAGGACGAGGTCAGGATGTAATAAAACTGAAGCTCTTAGGGAAGTCTAGGCACAGTGTTGTTAAAGGGGAGCACTGCAGAGGTATGGATTTATTCTCTAATGTAGCTATTTATCTGAATGTCTGCATAAAGAATTTCTTTTGCCTGTATCGTCCCTCAAGCAGAGACACTCCTATGACTTCTTTGAAAAGCATTGCCTGAGACTGTTGAAAGACATTTTTAAGGACAATCACATTCCAGCCACTAACTAGAGTTTTAGATGTATGTCTCCATTTTTTTTTCTTTCAACCCTCTTAGAAATGTTAGCTTATTGTCATTTCCTTGAATATCAAAAGGTAATGACTCCAAAATCAGTTAAAATTGGAAATTTCAAGACAGCGGAATAAACACTCAGCAGAACTCCCCATTAAATTATGCACCTGAAGTGCATTACTGAGTGAAAGACAGTTTCAAACTGGAATTGTGTCCATGCCACTGACAAAACACTAGTACTTTGTGTAATATTACACTGAGTTTTTGAGATGCAGCAAACAAGACTGTTCTGTGTAGCTTACAAGAAAATAGAGAAAGGATATGACTGCAAATATTGAGATGTTGTTGATGATCAGAGGTTCATGAATGTCTGACAAACAAGCACATACGTTGTTCTGCAGATTATGAACTGAGTAGATAAATGAGGAGAGTACAGAGTTGGTGGATAATCCAGCATGAGGTTATGGTGATTTAACAGCAAAGGGCCAGTTGTATTTTCACTGTGGTTTTTTGGAGTGTTAAAGCTGAAGAGGAGGTTTTGGTTGCAGTGAGCACCATGAAGTTATACATTCAGCACTGCACCGTGTCCGTACAAAAATGCACATTTTAGAGGAGATACGTGTCACTGTACAGCCTTTAGCATTCAGTAGGTTCAAGAGTAGATTTGGTTGTAGTGCATATTGCTTTAGACGCGGAAAAAGTTCAGATGCATAAATGAATTAACTGACCTGTAAAAAGTGGCAACAGGGTCAAAGAAAAACATTCATTTGAACTTTTGGGTCATAGTCAAAGTGAATCTGTCAAAGTGATAAAAGAACCAAAGTGGGCCAACTGCAGCCGAGTGTTAAAGGACTTCTATATGACTTCCATGTGCACTCATGATCGGACAGCTATCTTAAAATAAGCACAGCTTTACTTATATTAGGCATCGATTATGTTCAATCTCTTCATTGACTTGTGGCCACTTCAAGGATAAACAGGTTCATCTGTACTGAAGTAGAAATTTAAGATATCACATTCAATTGCTTGTATCTCTTGAATAAAAAGTCCACTTCTGCATCAGGTGCAAAATATGAACTTGTTTTAGTCACAAAAAAGTGCTTTCAGGGAAGGAAATAATACTTCTATCTCAATAAATCGGCCAGTGTACCATGGTGCAGAAAGTTTCTTATTAAAAGTGACAATCATGCACATCATCTCCAAATAAAACTGGGGCAGGTCTGAGCCATTATTCAGCCAGTTATACTGTATATTTAACTACAGTCACATTTAACACCTATTCACTGCCTTCTTGGTGCTCTCCTTCATACAGTATGCTGGTCATTTCCCTCAGTCTCAGTGCACAACCAAAACGTTTAAAACTTTTGATGTCCCTTCAATTTCCCGGGGATGAAAAACATTCTTTTCTCTTTCAAAGTAAAATGCATAGCCACCAGCAGCACAGTAATTTCTTTTCAGAGCATTTCAGGGCTGGCAGTGAAGCACCGCCATTTCAAAATACATTTATAAAATGTACCCCTTTGAAAATTATTGGCACAGTAGCTGAAGGCATAGAGGAGGAACAATGAGATTTGATATGTGACATTATTTTGTGTCCAGAGCAGTCCAGAAGTGGAAATTGCACACATCCCTCTGTACCTACACTGTCAAGAAAACATCTTTTGTTTTTTAACATAAACACTGAAATATACATTTAAAGCATAACGTAACACAAATGCACAAAGAGCACATTGCTTTCCCTTTCTGACCAGTGTTCCTGGTTGCTCCTGAATGACATCACGGTAAGGCGAGCAGCTGGTCTGATAGGTTATTTCCATCATTTCCACTGTGGCTGTTAATACAGTTGTCTGCTAGTCTTCTGAGTGAAAGACTGCGCTTCTATAAAAGGTTGCAAGGTGGAGGAGGGGGGTAACTTTAACTGCTAGACAGTCGGTGGTAAAAGTAGATGTAGCCCAAGTCTTTTGGAGGCCTTTCTGACAAACACACTTTGTGGTCGTTGTAGATCACCCACCTGCAGGAGGAGGGACATATGAGGAAGGTACACGTTATTGTAGTGCTGTGAGAAAAGTTTTACTTTTTAAAAACTGACTGCTATGAGGACAGAGGAAATGGGTCAATTTATTATTTCCCATTTAATCTAAATAAGATGACTGTGATTTTGAATAATTTATTTCCAGACTTCCTGTGGTAAAAGCTTATTGATAATAATTTAATTTTGCAGAAATACATTTCCTAGGATGAGTGATATGAAAGAAAACACATCCATTAATAACAGATTTTTTTCTGTTGAATAGGGAAGTCCCTCGTTTTAATTGAAAATATGCTATCAGCTTTGTACCACAATAAATTGAATGAATACAATTTAGTGAAACTGAGTGCAACTCACCTTCCCTCCTTTTTGATGTGACAAACATAATGCCCAGACATTGTGGATGCTCCCATGTGGCTGATGAAGGCAAAGAGCTCATAACCTTGAAAAAGGACAAAGAAACAAGGAGGGTTTAAATCTGCACATAAGGGACAGTGAGAAAACACAATCAACTATTTCAGTAATTAGAAATTTTAACCACAGACATTTGAGCATTCACTCTTTCAAGCCTCAAAATAACAAGATATAAAGGCACTTGCTGTTGGAAACATCTCAAATAATGCTCTTAAGTACACAAAAATACTGTTTTTTTAAGAGGATACTATTACAGGTGATTTATAGTAAACAGAATCAGAGCCCTCTTTTGGCAAGGACAGCTCATAATACATTTCTGCTGAAGGTGAAGAAAAGATCAGCCAGATTCACTGAGTAATTTAAAATGCTGAAAGGCCAGTGTGTCTACATTGCCAACGGGCTTCTATGATTTTGCTTGCTGTATTATTATTATTATTATTCCTCCTGTTCATACTGGCCATTAAGAACTTAGCTCCCAAATCAATTTCAGTCTAAGCTATGGGGAACAAAATCCATAGTCCTTGGTCTGAGCAACAAGTATATTCCAAAGATGATCTGAAGCTTATATGAGGCTTCAGCCTGACAACTCAAGAGTTTATTTTCCAAAGTCTTTTTAGTGTGAAATTCCCTCTTTGTGTTACTATCCCTCCAACTTATCTCAGCACGGAAAGACCAGGGAAACAAACAGGAGACTGAAGACACTGAGAATGTAAGAAATGCCAGAGCTTCATATTAGCGTTTCAATGCACCTGGACAGTACAGTTGTCTAAAGCCCATTAGTCTGTCATTATGCAGATGAATTATTGCATGAAGATGCACTGTTTACACTTTTATGAGGGGAGTTAAGTTAAAAAGCTTGTGAATCTTATTTCTTTATGCCACTGTGCCTTCAGTTGGTCTAGCAGAGCAGGTCAGTGCCCGGCAGCACCAGAGTTCACTGTGTTTCATCATCAGGTATTAATTGGAGCTGAGGTTAAATTGGCCTTTGGAAGTTCATGCATGACATGTAGGTAAAATTACAACAAATTAGGGGACAAAAAATGCCCTCTGACACTTTTTTTGGACTCTGACCCATGTTGGTTATACAGATCTCTGCCTTGGAAAATAATACACTATATGCTAGACGCTCCTGCTGGATCTCTGTCCTGAGTAACCAAGCTAACCTTGAACTGTGAAAATTTGACTACAGTTTATATCCTACTGGTCACAAACAATTGCTAATTAAAGTCAACCCTTGATTACTTCATGGTCATTTAGATTAGGTTCTGTAATAAATTAAGTCAAGACAGAAGGGGCAGATATAATCAGTGAAATCAGTCATGCAGAGTCACTCATTTCATTTATTTACTTATTTAGGGACAATGCACTTTAATCAACAGTACTGTAAATGTGCCAGTGTTAGCCAGCTGCCTAATTTTCAACTGCAGTCCTTAGATGTTTCAACGTTTCAAGGATCATCAACACAATAAAATTTACAGCGATGACACAGAAGACCGCAACAACAACAACAAAGAGAATCATCACAGACATGCAAAGCAACTGGAAGCGGCGAAACATTGGGACAATAATACAACAACAAACACTATTTCGGTACATATAGCCATGCAAGCAGCATGAAGCAACAACAACACTGACAACATTTAACATACTCACATGAGGAGCAGCAATTTACAGTAATTATAAATAAAATGGAGTAATCAATAAGTCAATACTTACGTCCCGGTCCGTCTTTGACACGTGGGCCTGACGTGTCTCTGTCTGGAGACAGCGTGGAGTCGCTGTGCGAGTTGGCGTTGGAGAAAGTGTTGTCGTTGGGCTCTGTGTCAGCCATGTCTGACAGGGCGTCACTCTCCTCCTCCTCCGGGTGGGTGAAGATCCAGTCGAGTGCTCGTTCCAGGTTATTGTTCTGAAAGGTTTTGAAAACACCCATGATGTTACAAGTTCACTGACATTCCACACAAAAATACCTTTAATATGTCACCAAGTTACAATTCTATATCAAACATTTTTAAATTTGTCAGTGGTGCAATTTTAAATTGCAACGCATAACTTTTTTACTGTTGGAATCATAAATCATACATTTTTAAAATGTTTAACACATTCAGTGGAGAACATCATCTTTGCTTCACAGTCACTGAGGCAGTAACTAGCTGCAGTTCAAAAAATATACATGTAATATACTATAAGATACTCTAAATACTTGTAGTAACAGGAAATATCACATAGAAGACAAATGGTCTGCAAATAGATTGCATATGGGGACACAATAAGGGTTGAGGATTAAAAATGTTCATCTTCTATCTTGTTTTCTCCCTCTCTGTTGTATCTTGAACAAACTCCTCATAAAAAAAATAGTCCTATGCTTAACATGTTAAAATGAGCAATCACTTATTGAAGAGGTGGCAGGCATCCATCTGTGCCAACTCCCCCCCTGAGGATGTTTACTTTTAGTCCAAAGTAGAGGTGTGATTGCTGGAGAACATCTGGCTGAGGGAGGAGGTTTGGCTCGCTGTCAGCTTTTTCTGTCTCTCCCTGTCAGGTCACTGAGGTTGAAAAAAAAAGTTCCTCCTCCTAATTTTGGACTATTAATAAACCAGCCATGAGACTTCTCTGCTTCACACCTCCATCCACCCTCATGGGGAATATGTGTTCATTTTTATTCACTTCAACAACATCGTGGATGGCAGCGAGTTTGGTGGCGTGAGGGTTGATAAACAAGGAAGCCTGGTGTCTATTTCTGTGTCTTACTAACAGTCTGCTGAGCTATTTTAGCTGAGGGGGCAGTTTGAAATATGAAACGTGAGAATCAGGGGCCATTTCAAAACAGGGGAGGTCACAAATTTGCTGTAGCTGCATTCCTTTTGTCCACATTACAAAAAATAAATAATAAATAAATAAAAATCAATAATTTACTTGTGCTGAACGTTTTACATACATTTGTGAGCTGTGATGATAAAATGGCTCGACATGTCACTGAGGCAGATCCCGTTCCTAACCCTGAAAGGCTGCATCAGCGGAGGAGTCCGTATGCTGCTGGGACTATTTGTAAACACCATGTAGAGCAGACATCTTTAATCACTCTGACACGCAGGACCTATTAAATTTGCAGTTTGGAAAGCAAACAAGTAGGCCAGCCAAAGCCCATCTATGACTGACAGAGCTTGGTTTTCATCATCTCTTTCTTTTCCCTCTTTTCAAACATCACCTGCTTTGTCATGAACTCTTGACACTTTCGTTTTCCACTGTTCAGTTTTCTTTCTGGTTTTTGGGGCGTGAGGTGTATTTCTTCTGTTACTTGTGTAATTTATTTCCATAATGAATCAATGTTGTGTTGCAATTTCTTTTTTGTTTTTGTTTTATCTGACAACATTTGTGGTGCCCGGCAGTCATTGCTGTGCTGCTACACTTCTCATAGACGTGTGGGTGGTTCTTTGCCTTCAGTTTTTCTCTTGCTCAAGTCTGACTTTTTTTTTCCCCCATATAACTATCAAGTGTTTCTATGAGAAATGGACTAAGGCATGAACACCACCTACAGAAGACTCTTTATCTTTATCAGTTCAGACATGGCGACCAACACTGCCCTCACTGGCTGCCCAGTTCTCCTTGTATTTGTTCAAAACAAATCACTGTTATCACTGCCACTAACACAATACACCCTGTGTACAGTGGGGGATTTTAGACACAGGAAAAGGTGTATTTGGCCCCAGCAGCAAATGCAGAAACTCATAAAGGTTGATAAGCAGTAAGAAGAAATGTTGTGGAATAAGAATTATCAGCTGGCAAACAGAAATGATTAAAAGAAAAGATGCCTGGAAATGAAGTACTGGTGCCAGCTAATGAGAAAAAGAGTTATTTATTAGCACACAAAGTACAAACATGAACAGAGTGGGCAGAAGACTGACCGTGGCTTTAAGTGCCTGGATACTGTGAGTGCGGGGGAAGCCCATAGATGTGAGGATGGCGATGCTTTCCTCAGGGGGCGAGTTGGCCAGTGGGGTGGCACCCATGGGGCTGTCACTGGTGGAGGGACCAGGATCTATCATGGAGGGCAGAGTGAGAGGTTCTGCAAAGTCTGAGGAGAGAAAGAGAGAGAGAATAATAACGAGATGCTGTGGCTCTCGTTTATTTTTCAACCAAATCAATAAATGTATTTTTCACAGTTAGCTGAGCATAGATATTTATTTGCAGTTTTGCTGTGGATTGCGACAGAACAAAGCTGACAGATGCCTCCTGGACATCAAAATGTTTAAGAGGTAGAGACCTGTCAGTGTGTAACAACATATGTTGACTTTAAGTGTATTCAAAAATCTGAAAGACATAGAAACACTTTAATGAAGGAGGCTAGACTGTTGTAACTAACTGTCTCTGTTAAGAATTCAGCCACAGGCATAAAACACACACATCATACAAACATGTGTGTGCTGGGAGGCACCCTGAATACTTCTTTGGTGCTGGAAACAGTATCTGATGCTAAAGCACCCCGTGGCATGTCCATGTCAAAGTCAAGATTAGTGTTGCGAGCCCACACATCTCAGATATATATGAGATATATCAGTATAGTTGGATAAACCACCACATATGCAGAATGATTAACACATCTATTTTCTTCTCTGCCTTTGTTGTCCGTTGAGTTAATTATATAAGAACAAGAATTTTGAATAAAAGGCTTTATTTTGATTTTTGGAAAGTTTGTAACTCAATATTTCTGACTGGAAGACTCTGTGGGTTTACAGCGACTCATATGTAGAAGATTCTTTCCATAACCTGAAACATGTAAAATGTTATAGCTCCTGCATGAAGTACAAGTAAGAATAAAGTCTTTCTAATTTCAAGTGCTTCTCTCTGCACTTTCAATGATTCAAATGAAAGTAAAGTGACCCTCAACCCAGGAACAAGGACACTCCTATGGTAATTACTCTACTGTTGGCCATTAACAGAGCCTTCATTACTGTCCTTGCCATAAATGAAAATGTGTACCACTTATCCCCCACTACCGTCTCTATCTCAGCCTCCTTGTCTTGTGTCCTTTAGATACTGTTTAACTGGCTGTTAACTTCTAATGTAAACTTTGACTATGGTTTGATCTTAGAATTGCCTTTACTAAAACATTCATGAAGTTTATATGAACTGTGGTCTGTTTCAAATGGCTCATTTCAGTTTTCATTTCACTGAGAAATAATATAATAAATAAATATAAGTGAGTCGCCTTGCCTGCTCAGTGCTTTGGAAGTGCACCTCTTCTAAGAAGATGCCATTAGTTTAATTTTGTAAATGCAGCACTCAGGGTTCCCTTCAGTGAAAAGGAAATGTTATGAGGCACTACTACTGCATCTAAAAATGATTAAGTGAAAAGTTTAGTTGTTAAAAAAAATAAGCTGAAGAGATGCTAATGGGAAAGTAATGAAACCAAACAAATGTGGGGGAGGCAGAAGTAGTAGCCTTTGTGCAGCAGGGACAATCTGTTTTACTGATGTTATTGAGCCTGAATGCAGCCCATTCTGCAGATGCATTAGGCTCATTTAAAAACTAACAGGCAGGGGGCTGTTATAATTTCCCTGCACTGTAGAGGCCCTTTACAGCCGACCAGGGAAATAAAAGTGACACAAGTTAACGCCTCAGGGGAACGTCTCTACTGCTGAGAGGCTCTACAAGAGACAAAGTCAGCTCTGACAAAGTTTCTGGTGATGATCTCGCACACAGACATGCACAGATAAACACCTGCGGTACACAAAGGGATCCAAAGTGCGACACTTGCAAAAACAGCTCTGATTTCAATGAATGGAGGAACTGGAGATGTGATGTGTCGCTCACTTTGAATTACCTTTGTGTTGAAAAGGTCCCATACAAATAACTTTGCCTTGCCTCTTTGTGTAATGTATTCTGTCAGCATTCTTGAGTAAAGGGAGTGGTGTGTTTACTGCAGAAATGTTTTCTGGCAGATTTGCAGACAAAAAAAAAAAAAAGTGTAGCACAGGCTTCACATGTGAGCTGACCGGCTCAATAAAATAGTCAATTTCTCTTCATTCTCTAACCGCCTGCATCAGGCCTCGAATATCACTTTACTGGTTGTTTTTGCTTTGAAACGCAGCTTCTCCATTTGAACTCAGAACTGTGTCTCCTTAAGTGCAGCTGTTGTTCTGATTATTTGTCACTAGTATTTTTGGTTTCTCTGGGTTACAGTTACCTTTTTAACCCTTGATCACCCACTCAACACTCACCCCCAACCCCTATTTCTTGTCATGACGATTTCATTTTGTCACGTTTTCAAGAGCTCATTTCACCTTTGGACTTGCACGCTACTTTGAAGGCAGGTCAGCATCATATTTTCAGGTTTCAGGGTGTTGTTTTTCTATGTCTATGTTTTGGACAGCTGGTACAATCAGATCCTCTGAGTGCAATACTTTACATCTCAGGAGAGAATAGATAAATAATGAGAGTAACAGCCATATACAACTTTTTTAACACTACATGCATGCATGTTCATTTTACTGAACAGGAAATGTCCACAGTCCCCTCGTCAGACTGTTTACACAAAGTTGTGCTGTATCTTCAAGAGGAGTCGAATTTACACATCAAAATCTGTTTACAGGGACACAACCAGCCATCTCCTCCAGGAGGAAAATATCCCATAACTCACAAAGCAGTTGGGCTGATGATGGTGATAATAACAGAAATAATAATTATCGTTGTTGTAATAGTTAATGTTATTAGACAATATGTATGTTTTTTCTTTTTCTTTCCAAACACATATATTTTACTTTCTTGTCTAATTACTGTCTGTTGATCTCGTCATGCATACAGTATGTTCTCATGAACGCAGTGATGTCTCCTTACCAGGCTCCTCCATGTGGGCTATGATCCAGTTGAATGCCATCTCGGGGCCCATGTTGCCTGTGTAGTAGACCGCCTTCCTACAGGCCTCCAGCGGGAAGCCCATCTCTGCCAACTGCATTACTGCTGCCTCGTCTATTTCAGGAGCTATGGACACGACAAATGGACATCAGTACCTAAAAACATACAGTTGCTGATTCAACACAACCGGTAACCCTCCAGTTTAAACAACCAAACAGATTTTCCGGGGGCCCTCTCTTTGGGCCTCGTTAAACAAAGAAAACAGAGGAGAATCAGCCCTGGGGAGGTTTCTTTATTGAGGGATGATTTATCAAGGAGAGAAAGGAGTCTGGCTAAAATCAGCCGAGACACATGGAAAAGTAAAGTTTGTTTGTAGAGTAGAGTAAAGTAAAGTAGATGGCAGCTGCAGCACCTGCTCAGGTATACATAGTCAGAAGTTTAGCTCTGCAGCATTCATCACTACTGCTTGGTGCCCAAAATATATTTTCCATGGCTATAACTTATATAAATGTTACATATTCATACATATACTGTAGCACAGAGTTATTGGGAAGAGAAATAAAATACTCAAATACTCACAGTCTACGGAGCTCATTGAGTTATCTGAAAGAGGAGAATAAAACTATTTCAGTTGACTTTTATGTACTTGATTAAGAAAAAAAAACCTATCTTTTCTAAGGCTTATGACTAGGCAGTTAACTGCATGTATGCAGCTAGACTGTTTTTTAAACTTTTTTTTTTTTTTAAATGATCTCATCAGGTTGCCCAGTTGCTTTTATGTTGATGTTAAGCACGTGAACTACCAAGGTGCTACACAAATAATAGTCACCTGATTTTGTTCGTACCATTTTTCTTGTATATTGCTCTTTAGTGATGTATATTACCATATTCCCAGACAAAGCTATGATTAATCAAATTAGTACAAACCAATAGTGACAGTGATACCAGGCCTTTTTTTTTTTAGACTGTAGTATAGAAGCAGGAACAAAAAGAAAGATAGTATAACATAAAACAAAGGTCCCCAGCTGGAATCAAACCAAGCATGTTGTGGTAATGTGATATGCGCCGTATTTGGACACTCACAATCAATCATACAAAGGATATCTCTGTACAGACAGGGCCGATTCAAGTCAGCAGCGAGATAGGCTCAAGTCAAATTGTCAGAATACCCCTTTGGTGAGGCCTTTTCACCTCCTACAGTGAGGAGACTGATCGGCTCCCGCTGTTCCCAATCACTGCAATCACAACTTCAGCGGTTCCTGTTCATATGAAACATGCTCAGGGGGCGAGTTGGCCTACCCAGCTGTGTTATTTTGGACAAATACATTTTATAAGCGCCAATCGTCATTTATTCTACATGGACCTGAAAACATTGTGACTAGAAACACCTGAGGAAGACCATTTGGACTGGCAGTAAGACAGCAGTGTGCTGTTTTTTGTCTTTTTGTCACTGATATTTTGCTAAAAATGGCTTCAGATAAAATGCTAATCAGGCACATTAAGTTTTTGCAATGAAATGGTACAGTTTAGTTTCACTGTCCCACTCACCCAATCTCTCATGTGCTTCTTCCCTCTCTTCCATATTTTCATTGAATTAAGAAAATGACAAACCGGATCACAGTATTAGATAAATAAAATGTGACTGAGGTTTTCCATTTTAATATTGAAGGGGATGAATTGATTAACAAAGAAACCAAATGCAGAAATCCATTTCTATACGGTGTTGGTTTTGTGCATTAAAACAACAGAAAAATGGAATCACGAAAAGCTATGATCCATTTTCTAAATGGCCTGGAATAATTGAGTGAATGGGTGATACACAGACCAGTGAGAAATTATGTGGTTCAAGCAGCGTACAGGAAAACACATTTGCGCAGTTCTGTGTAATCAATGAGAAGCACTGAAGCCTTTTGGACACAGAAGGTTGACCAATGATTAATCACTGCTGATGCCAGCTGGGGGATAATGGACCGGTGGTTAATTTGCAATCGACAAAGCTCATCATATAAATGTGAAATAAATAAATCGGCGAGTGTTTCGAAAACAGCATGTTACCCCCTCTGACATCTTTTCATTTCATAGCTTAAACCACATGTTTCACACCTTGGAACTTTTCTTTATGTTTCTGTCTATAGAAACAGAAGCACTGATGGAGGTCAAATGACTTTTGCACTCATCCCCTATGAGTGCAAAATGGAGATTCAAATTGCTCTCCCAACTAAAACTTACTACATATAAAAAAAAAACATTCATACATATTTCCATGCATCAATTTTACAATGGCCTCTTCAGGAGTTGTCTAAGCAAAGGTAGTTTCATCTCAATGGATGCTCCAATGCACAAGATTTTGAAGAGTTTTAAGTGGATACTGCACTCTTCCAAGAAGCCAGTTCCGTGTGTTTGGAGGTCTGAGATAGCAGGTAAAGCACAGACTGCTCAGTGGTGAAATATTAAGGCGAACATGTTCAAAACTGAAGCAGCCAGTGAAACAATTTTGCAAGGTCCCAGGTCTGTAAAGACATGAAGCACATGTGAGTCACAGCAAAGGCTGCTCGCAGATGTTACTGTGTCTTTGCACTGCTCTTTGAACCGCTTTTTGTGTTTGTGTTTGGAGCTTGAGACAGTACAGAACATTTTGTGCTTCACGCCTGCTAAAATATTAAGGAGGACACTGTTAACTTGATGTAGCAGAACTTTGCAAACAACGGAAGGACGAACAGAGGAAAAGGAATTACAATCACAGAGGAGACGGAGACAAAGCAGCAAAAGGATAGAAGTTTTGCATTGGCCTTTAGGAAGAGAGGATGTATGTAATACTTGAAATATCACTGAGCAAACAATGACACCACGAAGTTTCTAAAAAAGTAACAACAATATTGCTTGTGCTCTAAAATGCTCTTGATGGCTTCCAGTAGCTTATTCCCAGAGCCAAGGGAAGTACATTACAAGGGGATCTCACAAAATCATTAGAACTTATTAGGCTTAGCCACACTGTGAACACAACAACTTTTCAGTAATTGATTGAGCATGCCTTTCCTGTGGGATTCCATTCAATAGCCCCTTCAGAAAAAAACTGGGTGGCTTTGAGCAGAATATCATATTAGAGACAATTTCACAGATCATTTGACTGTCTCAAAAATACCCTACATTTCCTGAAAAGGATGTTGGGTAGCAGCATTAGAACAACACATATGTGGTCAGAGTAACAATGAGTTACCTGTTTGTTAGGTAAAATCAGACATATACTGTCTCACATATATATTTATTTATATATATATATATATATATATATAAATAAATAGAGTGATATGTTTGGCTAACTGGGTAAATAAGAAAGCACAGGTGGCTCAGGGAAAGCAATAACAGAACTGTGAAATTAAAAATAAGGAGCCAAAAATGCCCCCAGTAGTTAAGAGTGCCATTTTGCATTTTTTCCAAGAATTCACGCATGAGTGCAAATGTCCCTGTGGGTCACAGTAGGTGATTCATTGAAGCCTATGAACAGGGGATTCTTCTGGATGAGAAAAGTGGAGCATTGTCTGATCTGAAAACTACACGATATAACTGAAGCTGATCCAAATGTTGGCACCAATGTTTATTTGCCAATATGCAGTGGAAATGAATAAAACACAAAATGTCAGATTAAAAAGGGAAAAAAGATGCTCCTTACATTGTCCTAGTTGTGAAAAGTAGCACAATAATGTGTTGTCCCAACCGTATTGATATCTATATGCATACACACCAACACACATACACATCCATTTCCACAACTTGGCATAAGCTACATCTGTTCATACCTCTGGTGTCTTCAGGTAGCACGATTGGGGGCATGAGGTCAGGCAGCTCCTCTTCACTTGCCTGCAGCCCTGTGGCCCGCAGCCGGTTCAGATCGAGGAAGTCTGGAACATCTATGGCCAAGTCTATACAGGAAGACACATGAAAAAAACTCAGAGGAATATGTTGACTTTTAATTCTTAACATCCTTCCCACTTAACATTGAGACCCTGGCAGCTGGTTGTCTAAGTGTAAACACAAGTGTGACTGTCGGCCATGTAAAACCCCAAAATATCATACTGAAGACTGATTTATAAATATCAATTTACACAATTTACCTGTCATGTAACTGTACCTCAGTAGGAATTTAAGATGCAGCAACGTACTTGTTTTCATTTATTTAATCTCTGTGTCCCAAGTACATGACAGGACAGGATGAGAGATATGGTGGTTTGTGACCATGTGTCCAAAAAGTTCAGGTGACGCCTGAATGAGTTGAACTAAAACTAACCTGGGCAGAAATTTCACCTGTGATGGGGTTTGTAAATCACAGTTTGATGCTGCCCTCTGCTGGGCGTCTGCAACCCTACAAATACTTGAAACTGAGTCACCACATTGGTGGAGGCCAATAACAAACATTTAAAACCCATTAATCAGTGAAGTGTGACAGAAAGTTACCTAGTTTCTTCGGCACCCAATCAACTCCAAATGTGAATTTCTTGATCTGCACGAGCAGATACTCTGGGAAGGATGCAAAACGGGAAGTTCTGCAAGGGAAAATGAAAATTTGGAAAAAGGGGATTCAAAAGAAAGGAAAGCAAAGTTTATAGATACAACTGAGATGTAGAGTTGTCATTCCAGGCCCAGGAGGAGGTGGGCCTTGCTTACTTGACTCCAGCTGACTTGGCCTGCAGCGCTGAGCTCCAGAAGTCTGGGACGTTCTCTGGCTCTGTGAAGGCCTGCAGGCAGGCGGTGAAGGGGATCCGTGCTCTCACAGGTTGAGGTGGAGCCCTCATGTTCTCCTCAGCATCCTTCCGCTTGGCCTCGTATGCCAGCAGCTCCTCTGGTGGCATCAAAACAAAGACAAAGACTTGATAGCATGCAGAATAAGTGGTAACATCCATTGACAAGCATAATGTTCAGCATTTAAAAAAAAAAAAAAAAGGTGGCATAAGATGCATTTCTATAGGGATAATTGTTTAAGGTGTATATGTAGTATTCAAGATTGCTGCTGACAACACTGGAGACCCCTACTAGCAACTACACTGCATTAGACAGACGATCATACTCACCAAGGTCACATTTGTTTATTGTAATTATACCAACATCGGCACAATTAATATGACAAGGTTATATTGGTGTTAGCAACCTTTAATTATTCTTTAAATTAGTCCATCTGATTTGTTATATAATGTATTACATCAAGCCAAGAGTGTGTAATGACAGTACACATAACAAAGCCATAAGCAGTCACTTATTTTCTCTGTCTGAGAGCTCAGGACCTTCTGTGCCCTTCCTGAGCAAGACCTGCTGATTCTCCCAGTGGCTGGCTCCACCTGAGCCCAGCATCACGCAGGCTGTACCAACCAGAGGCAGCTGGTGCTTCCTTCTGCAGCTGCCCAGTGTGTGTGTGTGTGTGTGTGTGTGGGGGGGTGTGTGTGTGTGTGTGTGTGTGTGTGTGTGTGTGTGTGTGTGTGTGTGTGTGTGTGTATGGGAGCTTCTCTACCTCGATTGGTGGCAGCCTCGATTGGGGCTGGCAGTTGGATGCAGTAGTCCACCCGCTGAGTGTATCGCACCCGACGTGTCTGGCAGCACTGAACTCGCTCCTCCACCAGGAAGCGGAAGACGTCACTTGGATTCTCTGAGCCTGCACTGTTCCTCTGCAGACACCAAACATCGGGAGGATGAGTTTAAATATAAGCAGCAAAAATCACTCCATGAGATTTGGCACATATCTCAGTTTGAGACTGATACTCAGCCTGATACTAATGTCTTTTTTAAAAATAGAATATACACCAGTGATGTGATATAACACGGATAAAATGGAGGTTCTAGCGTTTTCTGAATACTTGTCAGTTGTTGTTTTTTTTTGGCAGTTGCAAGTCAAAATTTAAGTATTAATCAATCAAACCCCAAGCAATTTTATCTGAAAGACAGCTACTGCATGTCTGCTTAAGAACTGTACAGAAGCTTCACACATACCACAAACAGCCCATGGTTTGAACTGCAACTTTATCTATAAGCTATTCTTGCTGTGGCCCATTACAGTCTCCTGGCACAACTTCAACACAACTGCTGTTTGACCCAGATCTCTAAATACAGTCATTCATTATGTAAATGCAACTCTTTTAATTTAGGAACTGCCTCAATTAAGTGTACCCTCCATTACAGAGTGTTACATCTTTTCAGAATTGAGGGCATACTAATCATTATCACCGAGTGGCTCAGTGTCCTCTCACTGCTGATGAACAGCAGGGGTCAGTGAAGTTTAATCTGTGTTTATTTGAAGACTGTGATGGAGGAATGGCATCGCGACTTAACACACAAGTTTGATGACGACTTCTTTGCAACCCAGCCCTTCTATTCTAAGAGGCTACAGAAATACACAAGTTATAATTTTACTCAGGCCAAGTATGCAGGCTGACACAGACAGTGGAAAATGTTGCTGATGGTGGTGGCTTTAGTCAGGTTCAATCTATGTCTGGAAACCTAAAGCAGTATCTAGTTTACACACAGCTGTAGAGCTGTAGACTAAAGGAGGGCCATTTTCGAAACAAACCACGTTCAAGCACAAGCACTATAGGGTTTCTTTACTGAATGTGGCAGACATGGAGAAACTGAGGCTTGGAGAATCTGGATGGTTTGTTTTGTTGATCTCCTCCACATGAGGCGGAGGAAGAGTCAAGTCCGAGTCACGGCATGTCTCCTGCGGCTGGGGCAGAATAGGAAGCATTATCTGGCCTCACTGTGTAACAGATAGCGCCGAGCTATTTATATATCCTGGTTGAGAAAGACACATCAAGAGCAACCCAATGTGTATGTACCAACCAAGAAGACAGTGTGCTGTGTTTAGTCAAAAACAGACCCTCCCATCCCAATCAACTACCTCCCCATGTGTGTCAGGGGTCAGACGTAACTCAGCCATTTGAGTTTTATGAGAAGCGGTGTCGCTTTCTGTTGTGTTTGTAGTGTTGACATCATTTAAGGTGATGTGTCTCATATACAGTAGTATAAAAACCTATTCAATTTCTAAACCTGACAGATCCACCTTATGAAAATTATGTTAATTGATATTAATAACACGAGTCATAGTGAATGCTCTCTTCAAAGTTATGGTTAATCACATTTCTAGAATATACAGAAAATACTGCAAGTGAATACATTATAATAACAACCGATTTCAACTGATTTATTGCCATGACAACTGAGCAAACTCCATTCAATAATAAGGACCATAAGATGGTGTTTAAACCACTAGGAAAAGGTTAGTAAGTGGACATTGTGTTTAGAATATTTTGTTGAACTATACCTTAAGGCGACATACTAATATTTTTTAAATGTCTTGTCAAAGGTAAGAAATGTAGGCCACCTATATATGTATATATTTATTTAAATATACACATATATACACCATTTTAAATACTTTAACTTTAACAGAGGTTTAGCTTCACTCACCTCCACTAGGTTGATGATGTGCAGGAGGAGGTCCTGGGCATCTTGTTGTCTGTTTGAGGAAAACTCTGGGTGTCCCCTGCTGACCAGGGCCTTCAACATCCGGGGGGAGACGCCCTTCTGCTGGTGCTGGAATGAAAACATTTGGGTGTCACACACACTGACTGTGCATGATCACTCACCTGTCTCAGAGGGAACTATAAGGTCAGACAACAGAGCAGCTGTTAATATTAAGGTAGCATTAGCCTCGAGTGACTAGCTGGTACCAGAGTGGTATTATAGACATGTGTCGCACTGCTCTGTACACACTGAGATTCTTCTTCATAAAAAGAATGTTTAACATTATATTTTTTTGTTTGGTCCAGGATAATCCTGCTAAGCAACATTAATAAGTCTGAATGGCATTGCTGTAACTAGTTTAGTATGTAAACATGTGCAGCATCCTCAATAAAAATGGCTATTTAGAATGCCTAAGTGAATATAGATGCTACCATAAAAACTGCAAAATCCTTCCTAGTTTCTGTATTTCTCAATAAAAAGTAAACAGAACCTTCAGTTTTTACTGTGCCAGTTATTAAAAATTTCCAAGAGGGGAGAAGCCTATTAATAAGACAATAAAATAAAGTTACTCTTCACAAACAATCCTCATCAACACATCAATTAGCTATTTTGCCAGGAATTGTACAACAGACTATTTCTTGACTGGGAGCAGTTGCCAGGCTACCAGGGGAGAGAGATGTTAATGCCAGTTTAACATAAAAGGTAATGGGGTACTGTATTGATCTTTTCGCTTCGCCAGAGAGTAAATTAGCATAGCCCTACTTCCTATAATGTCAAACTATTCTTTTAAATTCACTATTTTCACCATGGTCAGTAAATATTTTATAATATATGTCATCCAGTGTAAGGGTCTCTACATCATCCTGCCACACCACTAAACAATCAATGTGTAGGCCAACCTCCAGCAAGACACCATGTATCCCATAGAACACATTTAAAAAGCCATTTTAATTAGCATATGTAATTGTAATGGATACAAACTGAGCACAGTATGCCAACACAAGCCCTCCCCCCCATATCATCCCAGCTGTCAATATGTGTCCAAACCTGACTCCACAATCACATGTGTAGGAAGTGCAGGATCACGGCTCTGCCCTATCAATTACTGCGGCTGGGGAGGCTTAAAAGAAACCTGGAGCTTACAGACCTAGCACTAGGTCCCACTATGCTTTAATGGCTTTCCTCTTCTAATTTCCTGGCAGCTGTGTACTGCAATATGTGGATAAAAAGGCAATGATTTCATGTTATATCATGCCTGGAGCTGCTGTGTTCAAAAACTATTTGAGTTGCAAAATTTGTGACTGCAGCCACCAGTTAGTTTCAGACCAAAGGAAAAAGGTCAGAGCACGAAGAAATTGCCAGTGTCAGAAAATCACATCTTCCTTTTGTTTCTATCAACTCCTCTGAAAAGCTCAAAAAAAGCTCAAGTATATTAAGAACACAGAAGAGCTGCATTAGGTAAAAACTTTACATTTATATCGGGAAAATAGCAATCTGACAGGGTGAAACTATACTGTATTGACAACCATAATAAAATAATTTTGCTATCAATCAGTATCAACATGCTTCTGTTGGTTATGGACCCAGTTTGGGAGCTGGACATACCCAGTTTAATACCTTGTATTCTTCTTTCATCACCTGTTCAATGAGCTCAGATTTCATGGGTGGTTTGGAGTACTGGCCTGAGAGCAGTCCGTGTCCCAGTTTAGCCCTGTTGGACAAAAACAGCATCAACATTACAACTCTTAGTTACTCTTATACTTTTGCTCTAGTCTTGTTGGGGTTATTCGTTGGATGACACAGCCTGAAGGTGAAGTGCACGTGTCTTTACTCGTCAGAAAAAAGAAAACCTTCAGACGAGACACCTGGGGCCTGTTTCACAAAGCAGCTAACTTGTTAACCCCTGGATTTTTAGTCTCACAAATCTGGCTCGAGTTCAAACTCAGCTCAGTTGCCATGGTTACCAACACCACAGACAATATCTGCAGGGACCCTTTTTCAGCCTTACTATGAAATAAATAAGAATAATCACAACAGTCAGAAATATACTTTTCTTATAATTAGCTCATACTTTTATTGATCACTCTAACAAAGGGGGAAGAATTTATTAGTGAATTACATCCTTCATATCATACAATATACTCCAGGAGCCTCCAAAACAGCCTGTCTATAAAAAAATACTATACCACACAGTAACTGCAGAGGGCAGTGACTCAACCCGTGTCAGTAAAATCTGTTTCATCAGTATCACCGTCTTCAAAACCTTACATTAATTTTATATTAATTTAAGCCTTTCGTTGTTTTGTTTTTTTAACCATCAAGTATTATTCATCTCGTTTCACACTAACTGATATTCAATTCTGTTGACTGAAGCTGAAATATCCTCTCGAAAGACAAAGGAATGTTTGCAATCTTTGACCTAAAATTTCATCATTGGGTATTTCATTAATTATTACAATTATGATTCATTTCCATTGTCAAACAGCTCTGCTGTCATTTAGTCACATCAGTCCAGCACTCTTTACAGATAACTGTAGTATTGTAAGTCTAAATCTTGATTTTATTTCCACTTTCCACTTTATCTGTTATTTATAAACTGTGGCATCATCCTAATTGGATACAAGGTAGTAATATAATTTAGGATATTCCTGCATTGTGAATTTATCAAATACGAATAGTGACAGGTCTAAACATGTTTATCTGTCAATGTGCCTCAGAGTATGAACATAACTGAATGAATAGCAAACATAACTGATACTCATCACCTGCCTTGCTATGACTCCACTTACATTTCATCAGCATGTGATTGACCTCTTGCAACACACCGTATTACAAAACAAAATATTTACCAGAAAATGTCAGAAAACAAGCTTTTACCCAACAAATTACTGTATGTTTCATTTATTGGCTTTACTAGGATTTATAGACCAGACTTGGTCGAACTATAAAACTCAAAACTCATTATATTGTTATTTCAAGCATTTTAATAACAACAATATAAACTGGAAGTAGCTACTCATAAATAAAAAAATTTAAAAACCTCAGCCTTTTTTTAACCTTTTCAGCCACAGAGACAGCAGCAGCTGGAAAACCCCTTGTTTGTGTATTATAACACTGCATTATGTAACAGGTCACTTACATTTGTGTGGCAAAGTCTTGGGTGGGGTCAAGGGGTGAATAGTCATATATCCTCTGAAGATTACCCACATACCTAAAGATCAAAATACATGTCACAAGCTCACCTCAGATGGAGCACATGGGACGCAACACACAGACACAAGGAAATACACGGGCTGGTACTGAGAAGACACCAACACTGCTTCTGCAGGATATCATGCTTCAATGCACTATGGGTTTTCTCTTTAAGTATTAATGTTGTGTTATTCTGTATTTTTCTCTACACCTAATCCACAGCAACAATCGATCAATAATTACAATGCGACTAGATACAGAGTTCCAAATACATCATGAAAATTGAGTCTCATCGTAAAGTAACCATTAAGCCTCTGTTAAAAACACTGCGTAGGATGTATATCATATACTGTACACATGAGTTGGTCACAATTTAACAGTAAAAATGTTATTTTTAATATTGTGTAAAAACTCATAAATCACAGTGCTGATTGCTATTGATTAATCAAACTTTGTAGACAACTGTTTCATCGTTAAAGTTTAAGTCTTTTTCCATGATGTGTTTACAGTATTTTGTTTCTTGTTGTTACCATACTGAGAGTCAGAGACACAGTATACTGCTGAAATAAAACAATGTGATTATTTTTACACTTGTAGAGACTATGGCTCCCTAAAATTCCCTGCAATTTCACAATCACTATAGTCAGATAAGACATAGAAACATACACTAAAAACAAAAAAAAAAAAAAATCAATGTTGTGTTTTCTTTCTAGTAAATCCACATCACAGCGTACAGTACTCACATCCTCTGGAAGTCTGGGATGCTGAAGAGGACCTGCATTACTGTGCCGAGGTAGCAGCTGTTGCCCAGGTTTTTGATGCCTGTGTAACCAGAACCGTAGACCGCCTTCAGCTTCATGCCCGACTCCTGGATCACCTCCCATTCACTAACCCGCGGCCGTGCGTTGTTGTCTGTGTGGTGCCCATTCTCTGTCTGAAGGAGAGAAGAGGAGAGCTGACTTTAATTTTAGTTCGGTATATATGTGGATATTTTGTTGCAGGGTTTTAGATCTTTTGGAGAAGGTGGTGTTAATAGTAAAACAAGCTTCATTGTTCTGCACAGTCAAGATAACTCACTCTTTTCTGCATCTGTAGCATGTCTATTCCAAAGTGTGACAAGTGTTCTGATATGTGGGGGTCCAACACGGCTTCTTCTTCTTCAAACGAATAGACATCTGAAACCAAAAGACCAGTCAGTCAAGCTGAAGATATTATGGCATGGTTCTCCATACCATGCTCCAAAATCGAATTTAAAGTCAAATTAACCATTTGTACATTACCATTAAGGTCCTTCGAGTATTCCATTTACACTAAGTCACTATTTTATCAGATACATCAGTACAATGCAATACAATCCAGTGGTGGTGTTGTATTTACATGAGGGCGGCAGGATATCAGAAACTCATTTCAATATAATGTAATCCAAAGGAACAACGCAACTAACGTTGGTCATCCCAGTTAAATAAATGCCTCACTGACACAATGACACAAAGGATAAGATTTAAATTGCAGGGCTGTTGCATTGGGGTATTAACATACTGTTTTGTTGATCATGAACTAAACATCCTCCAATATTAGGAACAGAGTAGTTTTAAAACTATTTAACAGTTCAGGTTAAAGTCTCATGTGTCTCAGACCTGCTCCATCTGGGGTGATGGTGTCCAGTTTGACAGCCAGTGGGTAGTTGGTCTCTCTGTAGTGTTCCAGAGCGTGGCCGTTACCTCCGCTCCCATCAAAGAACCACTTCCCACAGAGCACTGCTCCATCTGTCAGGTTCAGCCACAGGTTTTCTCTCATCTCGCACTTCTGACACTTCCAGCCACTGACAACAGAGACACAGAGACTTGTGTTAATGTTGTGTTGTTTTTATTCCGGATTCAAATAATACATTATCAATTTATTGATTAAATAATATATAGAGAAAGTAGAGGCATAAGAAACAGATTTTTTTTTTTTTAAATATGGTCAATATCAGGTGTCTGAGACACCCTGACTAAATTTGCAATATACATCTTCGGATTTCAATATTTATTTAAATGTAACACTTGTTCTGTGTGAAAGTAAGCACTGATGTCAATTCTATAGTTTGAAATGACTTTTCAGTTCATCCTCTGTAGAGTAATCAGTAAAACAGAATTTAGATTAACTGCCAGACCTTCAGTTATCCATCTGGAAAGCTGCTTTGTAGTAGCTGCTGCTAGTAGAAGACATGTTACTCCACCTCCCTTTCTTTGTTCTCTGGGATAGATTTAGGGACCACACATGTACAGCAGCAGTGATCAATGAAACAATGCAATGCTTGGTGTGCTGAGCTTGTTTTCTGTCTGCAGGATCATCTGTAAGCCCTAACTGGCTCTGAACTATTGCTGCACACTGCAGGGCACATGAGTATGGCAGGCGGTCTGCTGAGCTGAGGCAGACTGGGACATGAGGCTGAAACAAGACCAGAAACCCTCTTCAGGATCCATCTCAGATGAGTGGGATCATCCTATAAGAAGGATTCCCACTGAGAGTCTGCGGGACTAGAGACAGCATCTAAGGGCTGTAGGTTAAGACTCCATACTGCACCAGATTTAACCATATTAATGACTACACATAGCCACAGTGTCAGTAGTTGTCCAGTGACTCAAAAATACACCTGTTGCTGTTACCATCATGAGGGTACAGTGGAGAGGGAGTTGTGCACAAATGTATATAAGATACACATATTGCTTGTTTATGTCAATCATGACAATAATGTAATGCTGCCACCAGAAGATTACTGCAGTTAGACCCAGTATTGACCATTAGTTAGACCATTTCTGAGGATATAATGCTTCCAAAACATTTAGACTCTTAAATATCTACCTATAATATCCGTCTTACCTGGGTGGGATTCTGACCCCATTATCCAGCTGTCTGAGGCTCCTGGCATGTCGGGATACCTGGATCTCCTCCTCCCAGGATTCAGGCTCTTGCTTCTTGTAAGCTGATGGTGCATTGAGCACTGCGTCACAGGCGATGGTCACCTGCACATCAGGTGAGACAGCAAAGACATTGTCAAGTGCAGAAATGGGTGTGGGTGAGGTCAGTGTCAAAACTATATCACCTAAACAAACAAATTCGAGGATTACAAATTTCTTTTAACAACTGTAGGAGCATTTAAAACGAGCATTAACTGTGCATGAATAGGAAAAAAGTGGACATGCAAAATTTATGCAAAAAAAGTGACTAGAGCAGCATAAGAGGAGAGGGTGGCAGCCCAAAATAAACCATGCAAAGCTCTTAAAAATAAGGTGTTCTCCAATAATCAAAAATATATGCAGCACCAAAATTTCTACATCCACAGGTTGGAAACCTACAACCATGTCAAAGCCAAGCTCTAAAAACCAAGCAAATAAATAAATAAATTCAAGATAGGAGTAAAATCTCTCCGTTTTTTCTCTATGCAAGCAATAAAACACAAACTTAAAAGGCACATGTGCACCTAGTGGTTCCCCCAGATGTTTTTTTTTCCTTTTTCTTTTTTTGCAGAGAGAAAAAGCTTGTGAAATGGCACCAAAATCTTCCACCAAAACCGACCCAAATGAAAAACCTTTAGAAGGGGTAACAGCTAGAGGTTAGGTGACGCATCACAGAATCTCATTTTTCTTTCAATGGGATATTATATTATATTCTTGAATGTAAAACATTAAGGAAGTCTCAAATTAATCTGAAGATTCAGGTCCAGTGTTAAGGGAACCACTGAATGCACCCTCCACCTCGACATGCATGGAAACACACAGAGCCCATGCAGCACCAACTCACTAACCAGAGCGGGCAACTCCTCAATATTTGGTAAGGGGATCTCGAAGTGGTCTGGAAAAATGACGAGCTTGGCCTCGTCTTCGTATTCATAGTCCTCTCCGTTAAAATCACGGTTTAGCTCTAAATCTTAAAGGGAGGAAGCAAACCGCTGCAGTTAGAATGTGACTGCTGCTTCAGTCACTGCAGACTGACGTTACCTCATTATTAAGCCATGATGGAGTTTGTTCGTGGTTATTTTTATTTTATGCTCTGTTCTTTTCTGCTCTTGAGTGTGAGGGCTGTTCTGTTTTTATGTTTTTGATTTGTTCCTTTAGTCAATACCATAATAGTCTAAGGTTGCAGAGAGAACAAACAGAACGACAAAACCATCAATGGCATCTTTTTTTACAACAGTGACAGGATGACTTCACACAAGGCTGATGTCTCTTTTACTCAGACAAAATTCATCTTGAGCTATATTTAGGATTTTAGCATGGCTGTGACGTTTGTTAGTGCAGCTATGGAACATTCATTTCATTGTTGATCACATAATAAAACTAAAATTATCAAAATGAGGGCAGCAAATAAAAACTATTTTCCTTATTGACTGAAGTGCTGGATATTTTCTCAATTAATCATTTTGTCAATAAAATGTCAGAAAACAGTGAACATGTCCATCACACTTTCCTAAAACCCAAGGTGACATCTTGTTTAGTTTGACCAACAGTCCAAAACCAAAAGCATTTAACTATAGAGCTGAAACTAATCCAATGCCAATTAATCAGTGGGTTGATTAACAGAAATCAAATCTATTTTGATAAGCCATTAATTGCATTAATCTGCTTTGAAAAAAAAAAACAACTTTTGCGTTGTTTGTCGTACAAAACAAAGCATATTATTTTTTCATTATATTTTTTTGATTTTTAGACCAAATAACGGATCGATTAATCTGTCAATTATTTTCCAGATTAATCTATAAGGATTGATAATTATTATGTTTCAGTGCAACTTTACTGTCTAGTAAAACAAAGAGAAGCATTAAATCTTTACAAGAAAGAAACGGGAAACCAAACAACTCTGGGCATTTTTGCTGGGAAAATTATGTTGATAATTTTTCTGTCATTCACCTAATTAATTAATTGCTTCTACATTTCAGCTCTTACCAAAATCATATCAAACTTAACCCTGCAAACTGGAGGGACAGCTTCAGAGAGCCTCCTCTCTTAAATATCTCTCTATATAGAGCTGTCTGTTCTCCACCCCAGCCTAAAGTCGTGTAATGACTCATTACAAACAGGATCATAGGTTATCCCTGACATTGTGATTGTGCCCACTGGTTTCATGGTAACCATGGTCTGACGTTAGCAGGTAGCGGCTTGATTAGATCACTCGACTGGTATGGGGATGACGGCAGATACATTAATGCCCGCTGTCCAAAATGGACGACAGCAAGAATCGTCATCCAGTCCAGAGAAGGACTTCTTAAGAAAGACTCTCATAAATTTATATCAGAGAGACAGTCAGAGAGTCAGACATTGGCTAGAAATGGTTGACCTAATGTACAGCAGTCAAATCAAAGGCAACGGATAGTAAAGTCAATTAAACTCTGAATGAAAACAGGAACGTCAATTACAAAGCGCTTGAGTGGAAGGAATTCCTCCAGCAGTGAGGGACGGAGGGTGAGAGGGAGGGAGAGAGACACCTGGTCCTCTCCCAGCAGCGTCATAGCTGCAGTGGAAGTGTGTCAGCCTAGCCGGGGGTTGACAGTTGGTGGCAGCTGAGAGGCCGGCGACTGACAGGAGGCGGCCCCACTGTAAACCAAGGAGGAGTAGGAGGAGGGGAGTAGGCCAGGCTTTGATTTAGAGCAGTTACCAACCACATATACAAATAAATGGCCTATATTTAGAGCACAGGAGGGGGGAGGAGGAGGAGAGGTCTCAACATGAGAAATATCTGACGCTTTTGGGTAGAGGCTGGCTGCAGGGCAGCTGGCAGGTCACCACAGTGTAACAAACAATAACACTAGCTCGCAATGGAGGTCGTTCTCTTGGGAGAGAGGGGCGTTTCTGACCACACACAACACATTTAGTTTAATATTAAAACACTAACTCAGTGCAAGAGAGTAAGCTGCACCTTTTTTTCTGTCATCAGCAGGCTAAATTTTGTTTTTGCCTATGATGAGAATACCAGTGGCTAATAGGTATAGTTTAGCAACAAGGGATTTAATTCTACCAGTCTAACCAGTGGTAGAGACTAAGTTCTATTTTGAGGTACACAGATACGTTATAGGCGGCACAGTGGTGCCGTGGTTAGCACTGTACCCTCACAGCAAGAAGGTTCAAAACATGGTTCGGCTGAGGCCATTCTATGAGGAGTTTTCTTGTTCTCCTCATGCCTGCGTGGGTTTCCTCCAGGTACTCCAGCTTCCTCCCACAGTCCAAAGACTTGCAGGTTAATTGGCAACTCTAAATTGCCCATAGGTGTGAATGTGCACATGAATTGTTGTATGTCTCTCTATGTATGTGTACATGTATATGTACTTTGCCTCTCACCCAATGTTAGCTACAATTGGCTCCAGCCGCTCCACAACCCTCAAAGGATAAGCAGTATAGCTAATGCGTGGATGTATACTTTATACTTGTACTCCACTACATTTCAGAATGAAATGCTGTCCTTTCTCTTTCACTATGCATTTATCTCACAGCTATAGTTACTTCTCCAAGATTTTACATAAAAATCTTATCACAAGATATTAAATACATTGCACTGTTAAAGATTAAACCAGTGGTTCCCAGTCTCTTCCCTTTACAAAATATGTTTGATGGTTAATGTTTTCCTCAAAAAGGAAAAAATAAGAGAAAGAAGTCAAAAAAATGAATGCATATTTCTATAGTAGAACTTTTTTCTTCTTTTGTGCCCCATTAATCATCTCACAAATCCTCAGATTTCTGTCTAGAGAGGCCTGACCTCTGGTTGGGAGCCACTGGACTAACTACACTGAACACTAAACTACCTAACTGTATATTAGTTTGGTAGTTAAAACCAGCCACAACATTAAATGCTGCTTCTGCATCGATACATCACTATTAACAAACTTAATGGAGTACATGATAATATGTCAGTCACAGGGCCCATCTTTCTGAAGAATTAGTACTTCTACTTTTGATACCTTAAGAACATGGAGCTGATAACTCTTCCATAGTTTTTCTGGACAATATAACTAACATCTTTAATGCAGGACTTTTACTTGTGATGGAGTATTCTTGGTGGTATTGGTACTTTTAAGTAAAACATGTGAATACTTGTTTCAGCACTGCCTCAAACTGCCTCATTTACCTAGAAACACTTTTCCGTTTCTTCGTCTGGGGATGGCGCCTCCTGCGGCTCCTGTGGCTTTCTGTAGGAAACAGGAAGGAAGAGGGATCAAATTGGATGAAAGAGCCTTCATCACATTAAAAAACCCTTAACACCTTTGATGAGTCTATTATAGTAAAATGCTGAGAAAACCGTTTAAGCTTTGCTTCGACAGAAGATCCAGGTGGTTGTCATTTTGTTAGAAATAGATGCTGAATGTTCCAGTTGCGTGATCAGGTTACAAGGCAAGGGGAAAACCCCTACCATGACAGGGTCAAAATTAAAGAATGATAAATTGGAAGTGCTTGAGTTGCACAGTTTGATTTGTAGACTTGGACAGATACCATTTACAGTACATCTAATATCACGTGTTTGGGCCTGTCTTTGCCTATAGTGCGTGTCATCGTCTTTCTATGCCCTTAATATATTTCTCTTTTCTCTTCACTAAATACTTTCCAGGGTGGTAAAACCCCAACAATCAATCTTTAACAGACTCAACACTTTGTCAGTGACTTCACATAAGTTATGTCTCCAAAAACTGACAGGCGGCAAAACAACCCAGTACCACCAACTAGTGTCCGTCCAGTCTGATCAAGTTCAGGTGACTGCTTCCTGTTAACTCGGCGGGGAGGAGGACACAGTGGGCGGGCAGACAGACAGAGAGAGAGAGAGAGACAGAGAATGCTGACACACTGGAGACCAAGTGGACTCATGGGAAAAAACAGCAGACACAGGAGCCTGCAGAATGTGAGCAGCTGTTTCTGGCCAGATTCAGGCATGGAAATAGCAGCTCTTTACAAAGCAGAGCTTATCTGGGGGCAATTAGAGCCAGTGAGAAAACACAGCGGCAGCAGCCATGGCCTTTGTTGTTCACAATCAATTTTTTTTTTTCTTTTTTTTTTTTAAAAAAGAGAAGCTTGTTCGGGTACATGTGTGTTTTGTTGACATAAAAGCAAGAATGCCCTGTTGAGTTCATTATTTCATACATACAAGAATGGACAAAAACACCAGAAACACCATGTAATGCAATCCAATGCAACACCACCACAAACTTCAAAAGTGAATTAATAGCTCTCTGGCTCAGCCTCAACAAAATGTAACATCACAAAAAATATGTATGTGTATGTATTGTTGATTGCATTATATCATAAGACGTCCCTGTCATTTTGTCTACTCCATGTACTAATATAAGCAGACTCTGTTACTTTAAATCTTATGTTGTTCATTTTATTCAGTATAATTAAAATGGAGTTGAAAGGATTTGGAAAGTTATTATTTATAAAGGTATCAAAAGTACCTATAACATTTTATTTTTAGGGACATGTAATATCGAGGTATTTGGTGATAATTTCCAAGGTTTCTGGGAAAGCACAATGCTTAAGGAATTAGAAGTGTAACAAATGAACGCTGTTTATATTTAGCACAAAATTAGTACCAAATTACCAGGGTCTTTCCAGAAAACTTTACAACGTTACCTTCACACTATGGCTACAAGCAGAACAGTGTGAAAGGTTAGAGTTACGATACAGAGCTGAAAACATATCAAGTGTTAGCCACAAACACTCAGACAGGCCTCAGTCTGAATGAAGGTCAGGTCTGGTGAAAAGGCTGAAACAAACTAAATATTTACCTCTATTTCACATAAAATATCAGATGACGAAGCATTCTTGGTGCATCAATTTGCAGGCCATACAATGTAATTCAATCACTAATGTTCAAAATAATCAATAATCATCATGTCAGCAATTCTGATCTCTTTTTATCTAAAAGCCTGTAATATAGTGTTAAGCAGACATTAGGACATATTTGAGTGCTTTTTAATGAACAGTATTTATAACTTATGCTATGAAGACATATTATTAGAGCTGTGTTTTACAGATATTATCTTTCATTATTTGTTTATACAACAGCCTCCACTTATGGAGGTTGTCCACAAGTGGTGTTAACAAGCTAATAAAAACTAATGTCTGCTTACAGCTATGTTATAGTATGTTATAAACCATTAATTACACATTTATATAGTGCTTATAAATGCTTAATAGGGGATTAAAGGAAAGTCTTTCCTAGTTCTCAACTCCAGCTTGCTACTTTTCCACATTATATATTGTGATAGCTTTAAAGTGTGATAATGTTTTGTGCGTAAATATATAAAGTATGAATTAAATCAGTTTTTACATGCTAAAATAGATCATTTTCTCATACTGTTTGGAAGCAAGTGAGATTTATATTGACTTTTCTGTTTTATTCTTGATTAATATCTATCATATTAATGTCTCTCTAATGCCTGTATAAATGTGATTTGACAATCACTATGTAAACAAATATTATCATTCTCACTCTTATTACTACTGCCTCCAATTCAACTGCTATTGCTAAGTCCTGTTAAAAATCAGTACCCAATACAAATACAGCCCACGGTGGAAAACGTACCTCTTTGACATGTCGCTTGAGGTGCATGTAAACACTCTGTCCTGTTTTGCGGTAGTGTCTCTCCACATGTTCTCGTCCAAAGCCGAGGAATGTGTTCATACACACATACAGGCCACCCTCAGACTCCTGCAAACCAAAACAAACAAACAGTTACAATGAACAGCAGTACGAGGTGAAGAAAAACTAACACAGCAGCAAATGTAATATGTTGAAAACCTTGAAAATTGCACATTATAGGTACAATTTACTGTGTTCAGTGTTTTAGAATCATCATCTTCTATCCTGTTCTGCCTAATTATGTAAATTCAACAGCAGCTGAGAGGCAGAATTATACTACAGTATAATTGTATAACTGTATAGATTTTTACAATGATTTTTTTAATCTGACACATGGAAAAAATACTACATTTGAGTTATATTGAGAGTAGCTACAGCGAAAATAGTGACTGCATTGTCATCACAATAAGCATGTAACATCTGAGTAAAAATGTAACACTACATGATAAGAGAGATGTGCCAGTGATTCTGCAAGCACAATTCCAAAACGCTGTCTTGCTCGAACAAACTGTCTTTCTTGCACCTTGTCAAAGAGCCAAAAATGTATTTCAGCACTGTTGCAGAGAAGAAAATCTCACTGTGATGAGAGCATGCCTGCTACTGAAGATCCTGATTTTTTACTGTAAATCATAGTTCCCTCTACACAATATTCAAGCCAGAGCACAGCTCAATAAAGTGGGTTCTCTCTTTCGCTTTTTGGGTCACTGAGCACCTGTAGGTTTTGCTCCAGATAAAAAAAAAAAAAAAAAAAACATACATTATTTCTCATAAAACTGCTGGTGAGTGTCTGTGGACTGAGGCCCACTCATGTCACAGGATACCAAGGTTTGATCATTTACAAAATCACATTTAAAAAACTTTTAATTTTTCTGGGAGAAATGCCCTCCTGCACTTTCACATGTGGATTCTCAGAGACAAAATACATCAAGAATACCCCTTCAAAAATAACCGACATCTGCAATCAGTGTAGGCCTTATAAACCCCTGTGATAAACCTTTAAGTGGCCCAGAGTGACATATGAGCTTCAAGAGAGCAAGGATAAAAATAAACCAGTCCTCAGGCCAACATGATGAACTCCAGACAGCTGAGTCACCTTTAAAAACGGTTTCAGTTGAGAAAGTAGATTTTCATTGTACGAAAACATTAAGACCAAAAGAACAAAAGATAAATCAATGAAATAACTGTCACAAGTCTTTATAAGTGCAGGAAAGGTTAACCTCTGCACCAAATCTGTATATTCTGACATTTAAAAGTTTTTAAGATTCAATATAAATCAAAACACTGAATGTTTTGAGACTATCTCAGTTGTCTCAATCACAGAAAAAGATAGAATGACAAAATAAATGGAAAAAAAAGGGTCAAAAGATTGGGTCTTGATGATGATATCTATAATCCAAACCCTGAGTGACACAACAAAATAAAAGCATACTATAAAATTCAATACTGAGCATAAAAACGTATTTTAAGTCAATATATTACCATTGCAATACATTACATAGAGAGCATACATTTTTGATAGGTCACTATCAACTCTGCTGAACACATTTTTGACTTCCAACCGTACATCACACCATGTCTTGATCGTCATAGGCTAAACGACACCATTAACATGGAAAACATGACAATAAATTCACTGTTAGGAGCATATAATGATGGAAATGTTTTAAGTAATATTACACACATCCAGCCAAGTACCACTCACACACCAAGTCTCTTTTTAAGAGACCATATCGAAGACGGAAACTTACGAAACACACACGCACACACACAGATGTTGTAAACACCTGACAGGGCTGCTAAAGCATTTTAAATAAATGCAAACCTCGAGCAGGTGTGTTAGCTTGCCTGTTTAATTGGCTTGGTTGAAGCGGTAATGTGGCCTGAACTGGTCTCCCCGCACAAAGGGAAACCCCTCCATCCCTCTCTCGGGAAATGTAAACAACATTTAATTATTTATTTCCTTTCAAATTCACGGGGAAGGTGGCCATGGAGACACACACTCACACACACACAGACATTACAGCAGATTCACGTGTGTTGTTAAGGCAAGCCAAGGTAGGCTGTCAGTCCGCCTGCGACAACATTTCCCTCCCCAACAATCCGCTCATGTCTCGGTGTGTGTTTGTGTGTGTGTTAGTGTGTTTGTGTGGGAGGAGGTGTGGTGTGGGGACAGGCACACTTACGGGAGAGTCGAAGGAAAAGGCACACTCGCTCTTGAAAACCCTGTCTCCTGTCCTGGGGACTCTGATGGTGGGCATGTACGGGACCAGCAGCTCTCCTAGGTCTGCAGCCATCTTCGCATTCCTGCTTCTCGCACCACAGTGCCGCGGAGCCACCGGAGCAGCGCTGTCAGAGGAGAGGATGCTATTTTTAAAGCACCCCGTCTCTACATTCCTCCGGCCAGGGGGATGTGACGCTGAAAAACATATAAATAAAATGACAGAGGGGTGGAGGCTAGCTGCTACACAGGCGGTGAAGCTAAGGGCACGAAGGCTAACATCGTTCTTTTGTTGTTGTTGTTTCTTTTCTTGTAAAAAGCTTTGACCTGCGCAGATATTACATTGCTTCTGTGGTGACGCCGCTCTGAACACAGGGATATTTTACCAGAAGGGCCCCTCCCACCTCAGAGGATGATTCATAAAGCCACCCACACTTACTACATGCCCCCCCCCCCTCTCCAGGATTCAGGGGACGCGTGTTTATGACATTTAATAGCTCCTGGATGCAGTATCTTACATACATGAGAGATACAAGATTGCATCATTCTGTGTTAATCTGCAGCAGCTAGTGTTATGTGATAAACAGAAAAAAAAAAGGAGTGGGGGTCATTGTATATTTAATTTTACATTTGAGTAGGATATTGCGTTTATATTAACTGGTGGAAGTCACCGAAAAAAAGACACATTTAATAACCCCGCATCTCTCCCATCTGCCAAAAGGGTCTTCGCCCATCAGGCAGCAATCATCTTGTCTGCACAGCTCTGCCACCAGGTGGACGCGCTCCTTAAATTGCATTCATCATCTGTGATCAAGAGACATCAGCCTTTCATGACTGTATGTGCGTAATTATCACAGTGTGAGAGATTCCCCATCACCAGTGTTTCCCAAGAAACTGTCTCTCTCTCACACACAAACACACACACCCACACACACACCACACACACACACACACACCACACACACACACACACACACACACACACACACACACCACACTAGCCTTTAAGCTCCCCCACGGTCTGACAAACATCCCACACACACTCTCATCAAGAGAAACCATCCCTCTAGCTGGACTCTGCTCTGTGATTGGACTGTCACTGTCCAATGAGATTCAGGTGTAAAAACACCTCTAACTTCAGTGTCAGTGTGGGAACTTTTTTCTTTTTTTTTTTTTAAACATAAAAATCTCTTCTACACATGCAAAAATTGTTTACATAGAACCAAAACTTGAATTTCACATGCAGTTTTATTTTTAAAGGTTATACAAAGGTTCTGCTTTGGCTTCAGCAGTGGCTTCCTCCACTTCTGTGCAGGTGCATCTTACTTTACTTTTTCTTTTAGTCTCCAGACAATTCACCCCATGTGGTGCCATTGA